GTATATAGACGCAAGGGAAGAGCACTCCGAATCATTTGTGCCAGCCGTATTGTTTGGAGGTGTTGATTGGCTTTTGTGTTGAACGATTCCCTGTCTCGACCACCTTGAGCTCGGGATCTCTGCAGGAAGAGCTGCAAGAGGTGGAATCCCGTGATGCGGAACTGAACCGACGTGACTTGTCAAGAGTTTGGAGGGCAAAGGATGCAAATCCAGCAATGAGGTCTGGAGTCAGGAGAAACATGCTACATAATCAATTGCATTCAAGTGCCACTAAAAAATCTACAGCACTGTACTTATCCTACCTTTATTTCCCAAACACTACACTGTGGTCACACTAGGGATTCTTACGATAGGTGTTAAGGCTGGGTTTGATCGAGGGTGCTCACCGGCGTGTCCGGCCAATGCAATGCTATTTGCGGCAACATTGATGCCTCGAGATCTTCGAAGCACATTTCGACTGCGCAGGCTCGTGCAAACTGGTGGTCAGGAGCAGGTCCTTTACTCGACTTTGCTCTCGTTGGTGCCACGCACATTTTCGGTTGTACACCCCAAAAGCGCTTTGTAAACCCCTGCAGGCACAACTAATTACTTTGGGAACCTTGAAGTGCACGTATGTCATGTGTGTGCTCTCATTTGTGCGCCCTCACGTGAGTGCTCTCACATGTGTGCTGTTTTGTGTTTGCTTTTGTGCGTGTGCTCTCATAGGTGTGCTCTCATGTGTTTGTTCATACATGCGTGCTTTCATATGCGCGGTCTGCTCTTTCATGTATGTGCTCTCTTTTGGTGCGCTCTCAAACGTGTGTTCTCATGTCTGTGCTCTCATGTTTGTGCTCTCATATGTGTGCTCACATGTGTTTGCTCACATATGTGTGCTTTCATGCGCTTGCTTTCATTCATGTGTATGCTTTCATGTTGCTCTGATGTGTGTGCTTTATAGTGCGGAAGTTCGGTTATACACTTGGGGTCTTGCCAGGATAGTTACTTTTGAAGATGTGGGGGGCTGAATCGGCCTTAAGGAGAATCGCACCTGAAGAACAGCATGGCCCGTGTGTCCACCGAACTAGCTGAACAACGTGAAACCTGTCAGGCCGGAAGTATATATATGTATATATATACACGGGTTGCTATGGCCGGGAGTGCATGCAGTGAATTGGCAAAGTCTTGTCAATTGAGTTGTCGAGCCTCAGACTCTGGGAGGAGAACGGGCTAGTGGCTGCTTGCAGACAGCGGCTTCTTCTGTCAACGGTGGAGACTTCAAAGACAGTGGAAGAACCTTGGCAAGTGCAACTGCGGCAAACTGCAGCATTGTGTGACTTGTGTTTGACAGTATATATATATATATTTATGTAATCCCTTTCTCTTGTTGTCCGTTTCTTCCAATTTGTTATCTCAGGATCAGATCGCCAAGAGATCAGTTGTTGCTACTGATGCCCATCAAAGCTGTAAGAGGTGGAACCTTAGCGATGCAGCCGTGTCGTCCATGGGCGTCAGTTCTGTTGCACGTATCAAGAGGAAAAAGGGGTAAGGGCCACTTTCACGATCCGTACATTATTTTTTTAAAACATATTTGTAACAAACATATTGACCTAATAAATATTTTATTATCTTGTTTGTTATTTAAATATATATAAAGTGTTGTCTTTGACTCGAAGAAATTGTGGGCATTGCTCGACCTAATTGTGCTGTGATTCGAATCGAGCCTATCGAGCCTCGGCCGCCCGCAAGGCTCAGTACTCAACAGAAAAAGGTAGCACCGGCGATGCTGGAGAGTGTGAGGGCCCAAGGCGATGGCCTCCAACCTAGAAGCAAAAGGAAGCTACTAGCGATGGCCTCCAACCTAGTATTTCATTGCCCAACTGCATTGGCTCTTGAAATGATTTGTGCCCCTTCGAGGACTGCGCAAGGTATCGGGAACTACAGGAACTCGTTTCCAACTGGCAGGAGCTCATTTGGGGTCCGGGCTTTGAACTCAGTTTTCCTGGCCAACCGATAACAGTATGGCCAATCACCCTTGGGATGCTGAGGCAGTGGGATTCTTGTGGCCAACCCATCGGCCACAGTTGCTCTTCACTCTGCGCATTTGCAGGCAGTTGGTCTGGTCGAGGACCATCGGAAATATGAGCAGCAGATGGCACTAATCCAATGTCCAAACTCAATGTAGCACTACTGTAGCTCTGCAGGACGCGCAGAATGAAACAGAGGAGTTTCTCAGCAGCAACATGCAGGGAAGAATGCCTTCTACCATCTATTTTTTTGCGGGGCCATTTTCTTCAAATGGCCTGTAAGGATGGCATCTTCAAGCGGAGCTCTAGGCTTGGAAGGCCATATGTCCAATATTTGGTTACATCATATCAACAGTTGAACGACATGAGCAGGTTTGTGGAGATTGGGCAGCTCCAGTGCGAAGGCATCCATTGGCAGACAGATGAGTCGGTCAGCTTCTGGCTACAAACTGATGCGCCCTGGCTTGCAACGACAAGAACAACAACGCCAAGGTACAAACAAAAACTGCAGCCCCGTCAATACACATCTTACGGTGTGTCTACCCCCTCCTAGCAACTAAAACTGCAGCCCCACTATTGTTCTTCGTTTGATCCCCCTCCACAACAACAAGCCAACAAGCAAGTGCCATTTTGTACAAGTACTGGCTGTAGTCGTCGTAGTCGTCGTAGTCAGTCGCAGTAGTCGTAGTCGTAGTCATACTCTGAGTCTAAAATATTAGTATTTTTACTCGCCGTCAAAAATACGTATTTTAGTAAATTAGATGCCACTAATCTGTATTTTCTACTTATATTATAAGCATTTTTTACTAATCTAATCCACTTAATTTTACCAACCTACCTAATTTAAGTTACGTACCTACCTAATTTAAATTACTGTACTTATATAGGTATCTGAGTTAAATTACTTAGGTACCTAATGGTACCTAATTTTTTCATATTTTTTCTATGGCCTTTGGTTAGGATAATTTTGACATGTTTTTGGCCCTTTTTGTTTATGAATTCAGGTGTGATGAGTATTTGTCTTGTCTCATGCACATTTACTTGAGCGTTTCTTCATGCTGACTTGTGTACTTCATTATCTTTACTGCACATCTGCTGGAATTTTCTTATGAATGCATCGCTTGAAATAATTCTATCTTTGTGAGCATATTTGTGAACTCAAAGAGGGTGTGACTGAAAGGTTTTGCGTGGCTCTTCGCCATGCCGCGGGACAATGACCACAGGTTTTTTTGCTGCCCGTGAGTCGTAGCAGTCGTGATCGCAGTCGTAGTCGCAGTAGTCGTTTTCGTAGTAGTCATATAGTAGTCGTATAGCAGTCGTAGTCGTAGTGTAGGAAGAGAAGGAGGAGCAGCGGCAGCAGCGGTGGCGGCGGCGCCGGCGGTGGTGGCAGCAGCGGCAGCGGCGGCAGCAGCAGCAGCAGGAGGAGCAGTAGTAGTAGTAGTAGCAGCAGCAGCAGTAGCAGTATAGGAAGAGCTGCCGTCGCTGTTGTCGTCGTCGTCGTCGTCGTCGTCGTCGTCGTCGCAGCCTATAGCGATGTAAAGCGCTAGTATGCGCTAGTCCGTCTTTCCGTTGTAAGGATCGTAAGTATGGGTGCTAGTGGGAGCAGTAGTATACGCCGTAAGCTGCTATTACCCTACTACTATTCCTACGACCACGACGACGACGGCTACTGCTACTGCTGCTGCTGCTGCTCCTCCTCCTCCGACGACGCCTCCTACTCCTACTCCTACTCCTACTCCTACTCCTATACTCCTACTCCTACTCCTACATCGGCGGCGACGACGACGGCGACGGCGACGACGACGACTACTATGAGGACAATGATTACAACGAGGGCGAATACTAACACGACAACAGCAAAAGCAATTATATGTACATTTTATAGGAGTCGAGCTTCATGTTTTTCCCCCCCACCGCGCTCAAAAGGTGTTGTTGCCCCTACCGGGCCCTAGCAACTAGGACTGCAGCTTGACGCCCCCACCCAGAACAACACCCTCAAAAACACCAAGCGCAGGCAATCCCAGACTTTAGTGAAACAAGTCCAACAACATGTGACAACTATGTTGGGTGGCTGTTTTAGTTGCTGCCAACAACAACCAGACAAACATGGGGATTCGTTCCCACCAGAGCACAGAGTGAACACGTCTCTGCACTCTTTAGTTGCATTTATTGCTGTGAAAGGCGGGAGCAGCTTTGTGAGAATTTGACTCGCCTGGGGGAACTGCAGTGTGCTGCTACTCGGAAAAGCACCCTGGCAATTCGTGCAAACAACTATGTGTCCGATGTTCAATGTACTTTTGAGATGAATCTGGTGTTCATAGCAATCAGAAAAAACGCACCTTGCCCCCGGTGCGGGGTTCTCAGGTCCAGTGTCGAAGGCATCCATATTCTGCAAACTTTTGGGCTTTGAGGCAGGTTGAGGCTTCCGCTTGGTCCTTTGTTTTGTCCAACGTTTCAGGCCAAACGCTTCGGTGCAGCAAACCATGCTGTGACATGCCCTGAATAGACGCCAGGACCCTCGCCTCGCCCTCAAGAGTCCAGTGTGATTTTCAAGCAAGGCATTGCCTGGAAGGTTGGGCACCCATTTGGAACGTAATTAGCAAGGGCATTGCCTGGCCATGGTGCCTAGCCCTGTGTTGTGTGGCAGAGTGTGCTGAAAGGACAAGAATGTTATTCAAGCGAAGAAACAACAAGATCTCATTATGCTCACAATTTTCACACGCTTTGCGCTCTCCCTGATGCAGCACTTCCAGTGCAAGTCTCACATAATGAAGCTTCGGCCAAAGAAAGCCAATGAGACGCATGGAAGCAAATGTGGGGTCACTGAAAGATGCTGAGAAGCCAAGTGATTGACGTCTGCGGAGTCACTCGGGATGTTATTTATATCAGGATGTTATATATATATATATAAATGGTCTTTTTGGTGGGATCATGGCTGCACCACCTTCACAGAAGCTTGCGGGGTATGTGATCTGCACACTTCTGCACATGTTTCAGGTCTGGGAGCCCAAGACAAGGTCTGAGAATGTGCTCAACTGAGCTGTCTCCTTGCAGGTTTCGATATTCTGTTTATTCACTGGCAGCACAAGCAGCACGCCATGGCCTGTTCCTCTTTTCTTTGCAAACGGCTCCATCATGTGGCAAGATGGCAGCCATTGGTGGCCTTGGCCCTTGCTGAGGCTTCACGGTTGTAGCTGAGAGGGCTCTTTTTAGCGCGGCTGTGATGTGCCCACCGTGGCACAAAGGAGCTCAACTTCTTTATGCGTTTTTCTTTTTGCCTTTGCACCTGCATCAATGCATACTCAGCAAAAAAGGGTGGTACTGCAATGCAACCCAAAGTGATGTGTGATGTGTCATTCTTAACCTTTGCTTGGCACATTTGTGTTTGGTCACTGGGGACTGGGGCCTTGTTTGCCATCTAAGATGCCTTCCCAGTTTGCTGGAAGTTGGATGCTGTTGCGCGAATATGTTGCTACTTCCAGCTTCTTAATCCAGTTGTTGGAAAAAGCAGCAGGTAGTAAACCACCGCACTGGAGGGTTCACACTGCACCATTTTTCTATATTTGTCCTTCCTGAGGGTGTGACAGTGGCAAGTAGGAAGCCTTGGGAGCATAGGGAATATACATGAATATACGTTGTTTTGTCTAGTTGGGGCAATGTTATCGTGCTAGGCTTTGCTCCTTGATTCTTGCACCAAAGTCCTTGCACGCACCCGGCACAATGGACGGTCTAGAACAACAGCAGACAGGGAGATGTGACGTACTTTAAACACAGGTTTTGATTGTGTTGTTTTGCATCTAGTTTAGCCCTGCGAGCCGAGCTTCCTGCATTTTGGCCCGCGTTTGGTTCTTTACAGCTCAATTGTATGGCACTTGTGCTCAGAACACTTGGAAACAACGGACGGACGCAGGTCAAGTTCTATTCAGCCTTTCCCCCTTTCAATTCGACAGCGCATGTTCCTCGTTGAGCGCTGCATGTTTGTACTTTGATCCGGATATTTTGTTGCTCATGCGGCTGCCTTAGCCGAACAGCCAGTTCGTACTCTCAAATATTACACTTGTTTGTTTTGGCCCTTCTTCTAGGCTATGTCTGCTTCTTCTCCGAGCATCTTCCCAACTTTTGCCAGGTCCTTGGTTTTGTTTTGGACGTGTTCCGAATTTTTCCACTTTGATATCATTGCATGTCGCAACGAGAATTGAGCCGAACGACCTGGATTCCTTTGTCAAGCCTGAAGAATTGCCAATGCAGTTCGCGCTTGTGCAAGTCCTACCAATTTATATTTCAATATCCTGACCAATTATGATTATGATTGCATTCAACTTTGGCCCTTGAAACCTTTTTATCACGTGACGATTCTTGCACAAGCCTAGGGGCAGATTGTGCGGCGTTGCGTTGGCCTGCTACGAGCCATCGACCTTGCCCATTCCCTAGGAGGGCCTATGCTCAAAGTGTCATGCTGTTGCAGAAATCGAATGCTTCAGTGCTCCGTATGTCTACGAGTGAACGTTGGGCGCTTGTGGCGCAGAACGCCCCAGAGCCTTGCCAAGTGGCGAGGTGCACAGCTTTCGCTGCTACACATCCTTGGTGCTTCTGGCTGACGTTCTGAGGCAACGTGGCTGATAAACATACGATTCCAATCAAGTACAGAAAGCATGCTGCAGGCATGGGGTCAACTACTTGGCCTTGCCGGGTATGTTGGAGGTGAGTTGTGTTTCATTGTAAGTTATTTGAATGACTGACCACCGACCACCCTTTTTGCGCTGCCATGGAGCTTCCGCTTCTGCCTGGGACGTGGCAGACCTACAGGCATTGACGCGTCCCGCACGCAAAATTGAGCAAGGCAGGCACGAATACGAATAAACAGAATCGGCTCACAGAGTGACCTTTGAGGGCAAGGGGAACCAGATTGCCTCTAGCAGCCATCCCCCGGCAAACGGGCAAGTGCTGCAGGTGAAGGCATGGAGACGTTGGCTGCTACCACTGCAGCTGCGATCGGTTTTCTCCTGACAGCGCTGAGCCAGGTGCTAGATTTGGAAGGTTGCACTTGCACCATCTTGCCAGAGTTCAGCTAAAACCTGCTAGGCGGCTTTGAGTATTTGACCATGCCACATCCTTTCGGAAGTGTGTCCGTCTCAGATGTGTTCCACACGCGTAGTGTTGAAGCAATTTGGCTCAAAGCCAGTGGCACAATGCGGCGGCCTTTGGCACATCCAGATCACTTTCAGCGGGTGCCGTAGGCAGGAATTGACACCTTTGAGGCCTCTGGGGGCTCTAAACATGTCGCAGTTGTCCTTTTCACGAAAGGTAGCCCTCAGGGGGATTTTCTTGAGTTTGTCTTGCGAGGCAAGTGTGGGCTCCTCCGGGTCTAATAATTTATAGTTCAATTCACCCCCCCGGCCCCGTCCAATTGATTTTCCAATAAGACCCCCCCACCCCTTGTGTTTGCTTTTGCTTCCTACTAACCCCTGTCAGCTCTCACCTCTTATGTATATTAATGACTGACGTATTTGGCTCAAGCCTGGTAAAACAGCCGTTTGCTTTCGTGCGTGTCGCTGCACTTGACAGAGCTAGCGTTTGCACTCATCCTTCAGACCACTCGAGACAGTTTTCTTTCCGAGGGAGCTCCACTGCATTGCACTTCGTGTCACCCCTTCTTATTTGGAGCAGGTCATTTGGTCTGCGAGAACACTCGGCAACGCGGCCCGCGAGTCAACAAAGTCTTGGACAACGGCTCAGATATGCATTTGCGCAGCGCATCCACTGCAGCGCACCGGATTTAGATCTGAAACAACGTTTTACACCGACCACCGCTTACACCAAACCACGTTTTACACCAGCCCCTGCGCAGTTTACACCAACCATCGTTGACGCCAAGTCACGTTCTACACGCACCGCCGTTGACAACAAACCACGGCTTACACCCACCACCGTTTACATCAAACCGCAGCTTACACCCACCACTGCTTACACAAAACCATGGCTTACACCAACCACAGTTTACAGTTCACCGCGGTTTGCACCAGCAGCCGCTCACACCGAACAACGGCTGCTTACAACAAAAACGCTTTACACCAACCACCGTTTACACCGAAGCACGGTTTACACCAACCACCGTTTACACCAAGCCGCTTGGATTTGATATTTCAGGCCTCCCCCCCGGGCATTGATATTTCAATACAGACCCCCCCTGCTTCGCCCCGAAGTGGATCCAAATCATACGCGCCTTGTGGTTCCCCCCCCGTGCACCTTTCAGCTTTCCTACCTGCCTTTCGTGTCTTTCTCTTCCTGAGTTGTAGTGGATTTTTAATTTTGTCACATGTTTGATCGGGGGTCTACTGGGCATGCTTGGGAGGTGGTGGGGCTCTCCCTCCGCCAAGCGGATTTCGGCCGGGATGCCGGGCACCGAAGAGAGCATCAAGGCGGCCTGTCCGACAGCACATGCACAGAACTGCAGCTGTTCTTGAGATCGTGGTTGCATGGAGCTTTGCACAAGGTGGCCGTCAGGGCAAGGCCGTTGAACCAGCGGGAGAAGAAACTGGAATGCGATATTTGTGTGGCTTGGCCCAGAAGCTTTTGTCATCTTTTGTCAAAGACATCGCACAATTTTGTACCAAACATGCAGATCGCCGGTCACTGTGAGCTGCCTATTCCTTTGCCAAGTTGTGTTCCATTGCAAGGTTTCAATGAGCGGGAAAACAGTCACGATGCTTTCTGAGAGGACCGAGTATTACATTCCAGTCAAAACTACGTTGAATCTAGCCCTAATGAACCAATTGGACGACATGGTATTCATTCTCAACTTGCCCACAACTATTTAACTATGCACAAACTCTAGAGGAAAGACACCGTTATTATATATATATAGTTATATAAGAAAGATGTGAGGAAGCTTCCGGCAGGAACCCAAAGCACTTCACCTATGACTACACGTACTTGGGCCACCATGAAATTCAATCGATTTGCCTTCAGCAGAGCTGGAGAATTGATTGGCCTTGATAATTGATGGCCTCTTCAGTCATACTTCAGTGTGCTTCAGATGCAAACCAAGGTACTGGTCCGTCCAATCAGGCGAAGGAAGCCAAACGGAGATTTTTGAAGACATCGGCAACTCGATGCTTTCGCAGCTTGATGTTGATTACGCGTTTGCCAAGAATTCATAAGCCTCGTGAATGATGTGGTGGCCGCCGTGTTTGTGGCAATCATTCAAGGAATGCCATCGACGGCTTCAATTGTACCCTGTTCGCCTATGGGCAAACAGGTAGTCCTCGGCTCAGGGGTCAGCCGACAAGCTGCTCCGCTTGAAGTCTTTTCGAAGAGAAACCTACGACTGTTCCGTCAGTTCAGTTCTTGTTTGGCGCAAACGCAGGCGGCAAGAGCTATACGATGATGGGGGGAGGTCAAGAAGAGGAAGACGGAGGCAAGAAGCGGAAAAAAAGGACAACAAGGAGGTGGAAAACAAGGCCTTATCAATAAAGGGGCCCAAGTCCACCATCCTTTTCTTTTTTTGCTTCTTTCATCGAGGCTACGATTTCCGAATCTTATGATTGCCTTACATCAGGCGTCATTCCTCGCATGATCGATGGTCTTTTTGCGGAAAAGGATTCTTGGCTTATATATAACCTCATCTTAAAGAGGAGAGAACGTTGTTATACAATTGTGTAAAAGTCCTCAGAAGTGCAGACACTCCCCACAAGATCCATTCATTGCGGAGTCGGAATCTTACTGCACCAAAGTATGTCAAGTGACACATTTTCTCACGACTTTTTTCTATGGAAGCCGTCCAACTGCCTACGCATGTCTGGCTTGCTCAGGAGAGGTTAGAAAAGGAGTCCTCACAGGAACTGCAGGCCTTTGGGTTTAGACCTTCAGATTTTGAACATGGCCTGCTTTGCTCGAACTGTTCGGGGTAGTCGTCCCAGGTGCGAATTTCTTATTTGGAGATCTACAAGGACCTGAGCGGGATTCTATTCTATTCTATTCTATTCATTTTTTGAAAGCATGGGTCTAAGCCATGATCAAAGGCATTCGATCTAGATTTAATAAGGGACCATGACACTTAGACTTGCCTCAATGTTCCGTACTCCTTGACATTGAGTGTTTGATGCTACCAAATGTCCCCCTTTGGGTCCAAGGATTGAAAGGTTCCGCGCCAAATAGTTGAGCAGGAGCAAGTCACAGACCTTTTTGCAGCATTGAACTCCCGCAATTCGAAGGCGCGCAAATTGCACTTGGCCGCTGATATGGCAAGGGGATGCAAAGGGTAGTGTTCTTGTGGAAGCTGTTTTTGCTGAATCCACCAGGGTGAGAACTTGAAGATCATGGAACCTCATCTGCAGAATTCAGCTGCTGTTGAAGGCACTCAAGGCTTGTTTCCCAAATAGCTGCAAGCTATTGCGTCTTTTACTTTTCCAATTCTAAAGCCTCGAAGCCTCGTGCTGATCACAACTTCGCCGCTGTGATGATTTGATCGCTGCTGTCTCCCGTGCAAATGCCGTGTTCTCGGCTGATTTCCGATGCGATAGGTGTTCCCAGTTGTCGTCGAAATGTTCAGTTGTATACTGGTAGCTGCTGAAGGCAATTGAGTTAACAGCTGCTGCTGCTGCTGCTGCTGGTGGCGGTCATCCTGCTCTTGCGGCCACATTGCTCCACCTGGCTGGATAGGACTTTCACACACTTTGACCTCTCAATTCTTGCAAGCTGTCGGCTGTCGGGTCCACAAGATAATTGTGAGATAGACTTTAGGGCCCTTTAGAGTGCCCGGGCGAGAGGGAGGGAAGAGAGAAGGATAAATGATTATGAATGAGTCATGTTAACCCGGCAAGTTTGAGTTATGATTTGTTTGCTTTGTTTGCTAGTGTTTGCATATGCAAGGAACATCCGAACGTTGGGGTCTACGTGAAAGGCTTGAAACTGATGCCCTGTGAAACCCAGCAGGATGTGATGAGAAGCTTGGCAAGCACTTGTCTTGTACTTGATTATTTTGAACTCTGAGACGGGCTACAGCGGCTATATCCACACCTTGCTCAGAAAACTTGGGCAAGCCGGAGTTTCGTTTAGGCAACCTGGAGTATGGCTTGAAGATGCGTACCATTGCCGCAACAAATATGAATCAAAATTCATCCCGCTCACATGCCACTTGGCGCAGCTGAGTAACATGCCGCAATCAATGCAGGTCCTGAACATATGACATAAGGGCTAGCAGCGGCTAGCATCAAAGCTCATTCTTCCCGTCGTGCTGTGCTGAGGCAGTTTTTACCATCGTCGTCAACCGCCTTGAAGGGGAGCGGCCGACAGGCAAAAAGAAAGATGAACGCAAATCCTTGAATGCACCTTGGCTGGGTTGAGTATATAGTGGTAGTATTGATCGTAAAAATGCCGATGATTGGAAGGAGGCTCCTTGAAAACAGGAATGGTTGTGATGCCTTAAGGCCAAGATTAACCTCATCGATTTGGCTGGCAGTGAGAGAACATCCAAAGCACTTTGCTCAGTTCTTCACTATCCAACCTTGTAGGTTCAGTCAAGTGCACCCAGAAGCACGAGTGGAGTTTGACTTTGCTTGAAGGCTCAGACTGAGCATGAGAGGCTCAAGGAGGGCTGCGCCATCAACCAGCAACTTGACCGCACCAAGCGAAACTCGTGCAGCGGCTGAAGACCAGCAACATATTGTCACATCATTCTATCAACAATCATCAATCATCAATGATCAATGTTGCCCAATTTTGTTCTTCTCTGCATTCTTCTCACGGCTGGCGGTGGCAAGCCGCCATCGAGCTGGCAGGAGTCTTTCCCAGCTGGGCTTGGTCATCAAGCATCTTGACCAAGAAATCCCTTGGGCCAGGGATGGGCTGAACATGAAACGACTATGGATACTCCAAAACAGGACAGGTAGACTCACCATGCGGTGTGCGATGTCACAAGACTCCGAGGATGCTGACAGAGCAGAGTAAAGACGGTGGCCTGAAAGCTCCGATGTTCCGTGCCTCCAAGCTGACGTTCTTGTTGAAGGCAGGACTTGAATGATCCTCTCACACATGCTGAAGGTGAACTAGTCTGTTCTTAATGTTTCTTTGAGGAGTGTCACGGCATGTCACGGAGTGTCACGACAGAGTGTCTTTGGGAAGGCTTCAGGGCTTGGAATTCGGACAAACTGGAGGATTGGAATTCGTGTCAGTGTGCCAGGATTCTTTGGCGGGGAACTCCAAGACATGTTGCTCGCCAAGACAAGTTCCAAGATGGTTTTGCCGAGCTCTTCAAGTTCTTTCAGAAGCCAAGCAAGTGAAGAAGGAACATGTGTAGATTTGATGCCAATTTGATGGAGACAGAGACAGGTATGATGGCCACGATCTCCCCTGCTAGTGAGCCTTGTTGCAACTTCAGCCGGCGTTGTGTATTCAGAGTGCCTCAAGCACAGTGTGAAACAATGCATCCTCAAGGATAACTACGATGAGTCGATCTCAACTTTGCGGTTTGCCTCATCAGCACATGTCTCAGTGCTGGGAATGCTGTGTTGCTTGAGCCTGTCCAAAGCTATCCATTCAAAGCCACACAGGTCAAGAGCATCAAGACGGTAGCAGTGCAAAACAAGAACAAGAAAGATCAATTGATTGAGAACCTCCAGGAGGAGCATTGAAAGTTGCTGTGTTTGGCGACAACAGCTTTGGAGAATAATCGACCGCGGGTTTAGGAGATGCGGCTCTTGAAAGCTACAATGGCAGCTGGTGGGATGAATGCAACTTAGCTATGCCAGCACCGTGGGGCCCTCCCTAACTGGGGAATTGTAAGTGTCGGGGTGGTGTGGTTGATGCCAATGTTGCTTCGTGAAACGTTGTTTCTTTAGGTAGCGGAAGCCACAGAGCAGCTGAAGGAAAGAGAGCGACTCATCAAGGAAAGCTTTGGCGTTTGCCGAGTGTGTTCCCCTTCGCACAAGTACATCTTCGATCTATTTATGTAAATCTATTTATATATCGCTTTGTCATACTTTGTCAATGTTTTGCATGCAGCATGTATGTGCGCAGCGTGAAGTTATCGTCATGCATTTTTTTTCCAGAGAGACAGTTTTGTCCGTCGTGCGTGTGTTGCAGGAGCAGATGCAACAAGACTTCCAGACTGAGCTGAAGGAGAAGTGCAATTGCCACTCTTGCGGAAGAAAAAAGGATGAAGAAAAGAATGTGCTTGGGCCCCTTGAACAAGCCCTCTTTAAATGGAGCCTGCTCAAGGGCCCATGTCCACCTTCTCTTTTTCATCTCTTTTTTCTTTTTCATCTCAAATTCTGCAGATGTTCTCCTTGCGGACGTGCACCTGGCCACAACTCCAGGCTGCGAAAGAAATGACACGAGCACGGGAGAAAGCGCTTGAAGAGAGTGGTTTGTCCCATGGTCATATCACAGAGGCAGGCTGTTTTCAGCTGTGTGCTGCTTCAAGTCTGCTTCAATTTCATGTACTGTATGCGGAACATTTCAACAGTGAGTGCAAAGAACTAAGACTACATAGGCACATCGGAGAAAGGGAGACATGGAGGTATGCAGGCTTCGCACAATATCCAGTTGCATTCGCTGAAGGCGTTTGGCATCACAAGTGGTCAGCCTTACATGGTCAACATGGCCTTCGACCCAACGCTGGCGGGTTGCCTCATTTACCTCATCCAGGTCGAGATTTGGCGCTGCCAGTGTCATATATTGGTCGTGAGTTTTTACTTTGTAACAGAGAATATGTGTCATCCACACCTGGCTAATTCACCTTGCAGGAGAGCAAACCCACAACAATGGGATCCCACAAGGACAACACAATCGTGCTCAAGGGCGCTTCGGCTCCAAATCAGCTGGTATCTCATCCAGCCTCGCTGAAAGCGATGCACCAGTGGCATTTCAGTTTTGACAAGTTCAATTCCGGACTTCTTCAGTGAAGATCTGAGGACCTTCAATCCCAGATTACCTTTGCCGCATTGATATGGTGCAGCAGGCAAGCATTCAGTTGCAAGAAGCTCGAGTTTGTTTAGATCGTTTAGTGGGTTTGATTTCACCAGAGCTTGCTTTGAGCAGAAATAATGAGCTCAACAGAACTTGGGCCAAGTTGGCCACAGCTAAGGGAGGCCATTGCTAGTAGGTTGGGGGCCATGGCTTCTAGGTTGGAGGCCATCCCTACTAAAAAAAGAAAAAGAAGAACGGACTGTATAATTAGTCTTCGGCTGAGCGTTTTGGCAGAATGCTCCGAACGCGAGTGCATCGAGATCTCGGTCAGCCTCGGAGGCTCATGGGCCTTGCAGTTGTACATAGTGGTACAGGTTGTGTGGATCCATGAGGTGGACAGTATGTAGAATGAGAAGCAATCTGGTCAAGATGGTCAAGGGTAATGTTGGGTCAGTCATAATTACATGTGACTAGCACCATTCTTGAAGCTTAATGTTTTTCAAGTAGCCTGACGACTAGACTCAGCCCCAGCCCACACCTTCAGAGGTCTTGAGCCCTGTCACGCTCACGCGACTCTCTGAAGAGACGCGGGTGGCCGTGAACCGCACCTCGGCAGAAAAGACCTAATAGCAAACTTGCTCCTAGTAGCGATGCCCTTTACTCCTAGTAGCTTCTTGTTCCTAGTAGTAAGAATGCTACTAGTAGTAAGGCCATGAGCCCCTAGTAGCTTCTTGCTACTAGTAGCGATGCCAGGAGCCCCTATTTGCGTCCTTGCTCGCATGCCGCTCTGGGTGGATCCGAGGCAAGGAGCTAGAGCCTGGCCAGACATGGCATCTTCAAAATGGCAACTTGGCAGAAAATGGCCGCCTCCAGTGCATGATTTCAACGATGAGAGAAAGATAGAGAGAGAGATATCCAACAGGAAGAGCAATTCATTCAAACATTTCTTTTGCAACTTGAGATCATTGCACTTGACTGGTCCTGGCAACTTGTTACAAGCTTACGGTGCCGCAGGCGACCAAATCTTTCTGGGACGGTGGCATGCTCTCAAGCATTTGGGCAGCATGTATTCCTGGCCGCGTTGTTGCAGAGGTATAGGTGCATTTTGGTGCCCAGGAGCCTCAGCTTTTAGCCTTCTTTGCATGGCTTTGCCAGCCAAGGCTTGTGTGCCCTGGTGAGGGGGCAGCACCTGTGCGGGATGACCTGGTGCTGGAAAGAGATGAGATAGCCAAATCAGAGTGGCCCGGTACAAAAGTGGCAAACGCCGTGGGTTTCTACTGTATGTAGTCGTAGCTGCTACATAAGTAGATTCCTGCAGCTGGCAGGACAAAATACACACATACATACATATATCTATGAATACATATATATAGAATGTATACACATACAGGCATTGTCATTATTTGGTAAGCTTCTGGGCCGCGCTTGAATTATTGAAGCCACATTGACATTGACTGCCTAAGTCAGTGAGCTTCTCCTCAAATTGAGCGAAATTGCCAACACCTTTGAGGCTGGACAACTCGGCTTCATGGAAGAGTCTCCAGGACTATGTGACACAGGTTGTTCGCCAGATGCTCCATGGCGAGAACTGCAGCTCATTGAATTGATTCGACACGGGGCAATGGAACATGTGAACGCGGGTCAACTATATAATTGGCCAGACTTGATTTGTTTGTGAACTCTGCGGCCAACAAGGTCCAATGTAATGGCTTCCCAGTTGATGGATGAGATCAAGATTCTTGCCAGCAATATGAACATATTCTTTTGCGGCCTGGATTAAATTTAGCACCCAAAATGTATGACCAAATTACTGTAATGTCAGGCAAGCTTGCCGCTCAACAGATGAGGCTTGGATGGGTGTAGCTGTTGGTTTTGGTGACTGTCTCAAGCAGTGTTGAATTGCCGATGCTACAAGCGCCCCTGGTGGGAATGTAGAATTCAGGAATACTTGTCCTGGCAAGAAGCCAGAGAAGCTTGAACATTGCAAGCAATTTCCACCAGATGAAATCCTGTGTATTTGTCCTTTGAGATTCACAGTCCTATTTTGCCCGCCTTCCACCATTCTCGGGAGCAGTTTCCATTCCTGTCCTGCATGGCACAGGGGCCGATGTTCAGCCCAGCTGTGAGGCCAATGAGATCACGCGCGCATGCAGACCAGAGGCCCTCTACTTTGAGGTAGACTTGACCAGCACATTTCCACCGCTCCTTGGCAGTGCTATGTGGTATTGTGTTGTTCCACAGTTTCACAGGCAAAACCCACCCGTTCAGAGACATGCCCGTTGCTGTGCTAAAGACCCAAATGTTTCCTTGCCCGTTTGCTCCTGCGGAAGGTGGGATTGGACGAACTGAGGTGTGTGGCGATTCGCGTTCTTCAATGTGACAAAGGTCGTGATTGCAAAGACGAAGAGGAATGGAAAAATAGGTTCTAGGCCTAGTTCATTTCGTAGGTCAATTTGCTGTGATTTCACATCTATTTTGGCAAAGCTTTAGCTTTAACTTATTGAGGTTCTTGTCTCCGTCCTAGGTACTTGTGGTCCGTGAGACAGCTCAATGAAAGACTGGATCGAATGCGTGACTACTGGGCTGAGTGTCAAAACTCAGGCCAGATGGCGGTGGATTTCGAACAAGCATGGTCAAACATCGTCCAGAAATCGCAATTTCAAGGCAAAGGATCATAGGGTGTATGATATTGAGGTATATATATCCTATACATATATAATGATTATGTGGGATAAGAACAGACCAATAAAGATATGAAACAAGGAACATGTATTATAAGGCCCCTTTGAAGGGGCAAAATCAAGTGTCCTTCCTCTTTTCATCATTTCTATTCTTTTAGCACTTTTTTCCTCTTCACCACTGGTGGCCAGAGATGAGAGACGGCCAAGGCAAAGCTGTGGAGCTGCAAGCGCTGGAAGATCCCTGGCACGAAGCGGAGCCCACGGAGATTTTCGAGCGGATGAGACATTTGGAGCCTCTCGATGTCCAAGTTCCCAGGTGAGCTGATTCGATATCAATAGAGTCATGATTGTTTGCTTAAGATCCTCTCTTGTCTTTTAGTATCTTCCATGCATTAGAACCGATCTGTTGTGTTTTGGACTGAATTTCCGCGGTTGCTTTGTCAATGTTGGCCCATCGTGTATCTCAGGATCTTGGCCGAGGACGCAGAGAAAGCATTCAAGCTGTCTCAGTCATCACAGCCTTTGATCACAAGGACTCCTGCGCCAAACTTGGCATCGCATGCTGTGAAGCCTCGTCACGCCTCACTTTAGTCAACTCCAAAAGTCTCCCGTTGTGGAAGGAGAGTAGAAACCGACTCGGCACTTCTTCGTTTGACCTTCGCGCTGCTTTGCTGCAAGCGATCTTGGGCCAGACTTGCTTCAGTGTAATGCTATCAGCAGCTGAGGAGGTGGAAGACGTACATTGGCACTGCCAAGAGGGAGCGCACTCCAAATGGCCGAGCAAAACTTGTGAAGGCTGGCAGCGGCCGAATGAGGCCTGGGGCTATGCGCCAAGTTGCCTGATTGATTCAAGTCTTCAAGCCAATCACAAACCATGCAACGTGCAGTCTAAGCAGCTAATTATGTTTGTACCTGGTTACCTGCTCTGCGGCTCACGATAGGACCACCATTGTGCCAGACAAGTGCGGGGCTCAAGCAAATCTGCCTGAAAAAACAATGCACTTCAATACACCTAGCATGTGTCCCACGCACGTGGAACTCAGGGCCTTTGGGGGAAGCAGGAAATTGCAGACAGACAAAACGCAGCTTGGTGGCTGGTTTAGTTTTATGCGGCCCAGCTCTTATATACATTTTTCCCAGCGTATTGAGACACCCCTTAAGGCCAACTCCCTCCGGGAGGCAAGCTGTTGAGCTTTTGTGGTTGCTTAGATTTAGAGAATTGACTTCAGCTCTCCTGTGAGCAGAGGATTGATTTCAATGGAATGCTGTTTGTGGTGAGCAGGAGAATGACTTTGAAGTGGACCGGTGTGGAGCGGCTTGGACCTGGAGAGGTTGTGGTTTCAGAAAGCTTCCACTTGTACCAATGGTGAAGAGGAGGAGCAAGTTGGTGGGGTTTGTGTTTGTTTCATAAAATTTTGTGGGGGTGATTGTTCTACTTTGCCCAGGTCCAATAGTTTTGGACCCCTAACCTGGCCCAAAAGCGTTTGGGACAAGAGCACGGCTGCCCACGATTTTGTTATGTTGTTTCTTGGCTTGGTTCTTGGAGTTCAACATGAGCACCAGCATTGGCACTGCAACCAAACCGAAGGAAAAGTGCAGAGAAGCAGGCAGCGGGCAGAAGCATGGGCAGTATCACATTTACAAGGGCTTTGCTCCTGCAGGGCGCAGGTTTCTTGCATTGATTTGTTCGAACTGCGCTTATGCCTTCTGGCAGCCGGAGGCCGAAACGCCACTCCAAAATCATCAGAGAGGCAGTGTTCTGGACAAATCTCCTGCGACACAGCTGCAAATAGCACATGCCCAAACAGGCACTCCTTGCACACCGATGCAGGTTCGGTCCTGTGCATTTCTTGGGCTTTGCAAAAAGGTCAGTTTTTTGTCCCTGGGCTCTGATGCAGAGACGGTATAAGATGGCAGCCTTGCAACCTGAGCAGAGAAATCTACTGAGGCGAGCAGTCCCACAACAAAAGCAATGTTGGAACCTGAATCTTGGTCGAAAGTGGTGCTTGAAGACACAGAAGGAGGATGTCCACAAACGCAAAGAACTGACAGATGTGCAGCAAAGCTCTATTTGTTTGCGGCCGTCACTGATGTGAGCGCATCTCAGGAAGCCACCCCGGAGGTAGCCGGAAAGGATCGGAAGGTCGACTCTGTGGTGGCGGAACTTGAGAGGAACCCTGCCTGATCAACGACACACACACACACACATATATACACACATGCACACACACACACACGTACTTACTGTATTGAAATGCGTACTGACTCGAATGCCGCTCGTCACACGGCAACCTAAGAAACCAAATTCGTGAGAGGAACATCGAAAACCTGTGGGTCCTGGAGGTCCTGAAACGAAGAGGAGGCCCAAAGCTCAAGTCGAGATCGAAACGACAAGTGACAGCGTAACGTGCATGTCTGCCGAAAGACTTTAAAAGTTGATGCAGGTACGTCCAGCTGGCCAAGCTGGATATCCCATTTCACTGGTAGCTTCGTTGGACACAGTCCCAGTGAAGTGCTGTGTCCCCTGCTCAAAAGTCAAAACTCAAATAAAAGAAACTCCAAAAGGAACCCTGTGACTCCAAAGGTTACACAAACACACACGCACCTGACATTTGCCAGCATGTTGCAACTGCAAGCAACAGGAAACGCAGGCTTTTCCATCCTTGCTTGCTTGCATGTCAATGTATATCTGCACGTGTACTGTATATCCTAACACACACACACACTTAGTCACAGGGTTCGTCCAGTGCCATAGTCCCCGAGGAAATGAATGACTGAACGGACAGGTAAAAAGTCCAAGCACTTGAAGGTCTTTGAAAATTGTTTTGCACATCTGCTGGAAACATTGGTGGCCCAGAAAGCAACTGCCGAATACGGCGGAAGCGGGCGCAAGTCTGCGGACCTACCTCGACCTAACCAGCCTGGAAGGCTAGAGAGGATCGTAGTTACAAAACGTCACGAAAATGTTGCAGGTGCATGGTTGAGGGTCCTCAACCACTTCCCTTCCAGTGACCCAGCTTCGTTGGATCAGGTCAGTCACTGGAAGCCTGATCCCCCTGCGTCAATGTTGGGGGAAAAACAGAACTCTTGGAGACAGAGTGTGGCACAAACACAATGCCGATTATCGGCGCTGAACCTAAATAGTCACCTAACAAGCCTTAGAAAAAGAAAAGAACCGAAAAAGAAGACACGGAAAACGAAGAGGGCAGGAGAAAAAGGTAGGTGTAAGGGCGTGCAGGTCTGCCGCACGAGCGGCAAATTACGGGTCAGAACTTCAGTAGGTACCTAAAAAGCCTTAGAAAAAAGACTATCATTCAACATGAATGGATGGTTGGGTAGGGGCATGCTGAGATTTGAAGCATAAATGGAACGATCCCCAAACTTTGATACCATTTTGGCTCAAGTTGGGGGCCTGTGTTTCTTTGCCCACCCACTACCGCCCTTGACACCCTCTGCGGGTACTATAGGGTTGGGTTTGGGTTCCCTATATTTACCCTTCTGCGGGTGATGAGGTAAGTTCATCAAAGATGACTTATCAAGCTAGTCTGTGTGGTTTCTACCCCACGACTTCTACCCAGTGTTATTCTAACACTGCTGTTCTACTTGGGAGCGTGATTGGTCTATGTACCTCCGCCCTGCCGTCATAGGAGTGTAGATCTTATACCTGTCGAAGTCCAGGGAAAAGAAGATGCACTCGCTCTCCGTGCGGTATCGCTCTTTATGTTTCAAGACAGAAAGAGCAAAACGAAACGGGCAAGAGAAAAAGATAGGGGTAGCGAAAAAAGTGACTACTTAGCTCTTGACTAGAAAGCCCAGGGGCAGGGAAACGAGCTTCAAGAACTACCTAACAAGCCTGAAAGAACACCTAGAAAACGAAGAAGGCGCAAGAGAGAAAGGGGGGGGGGGAAGGGAGGGGGGTGTATGTCCATGTGTGTGAACATGTGCATGTTTACCGTGAGCTCGGCAGCACGAAAACCGTGAGCGCGGCCGCTTTGGGATCAGAAGACTCATGGGTGAGACAGAAAACCCAAACCAGAATCCACGGTGGCTGCACTTAAATCAGAAAAACCTGATTCACGATGGCTTCGGCGTCTCTCTTGCGAGAGGATCACACTGTGTACCCAGTGGCAAGACACAGCGATACACACTTAGTCACAGGGTTGATCCAGTACCATAGTCCTCGAGGAAATGAATGACTGAACGGAAAGGTGAAAAGTCCAAGCACTTCAAGGTGTCAGGAAGCAGCTGCAGAATGCGGCGGAAACGGGATTTGCGGAGTTACCTCGACCTAACCAGCGTGTAAAGCTAGAGGGGGTCGTACTTACAAAGCGTCACGAAAATGTTGCGGGTACGTGGTTGAGGGTCCTCAACCACTTCCCTTCCAGTGACCCAGCTTCGTTGGATCAGGTCAGTCACTGGAAGCCTGATCCCCCTGCGTCAATGTTGGGGGAAAAACAGAACTCTTGGAGGCAGAGTGTGGCGCACACACATATATCTATATATGTGTATATATAAATATATATCTGCATCCCCACTCACATTTAATTTGGTTGGGAAGCTCGATCTGGAGTGAAGGGCAATTCATGCATGGAAAGCAAAGCAGGTCAGAACACTATTGTGGGAACGTATTGCATGCATTTCACATAGACAGTAACAGCAACGGCGTGCCTCATTCCGCTTCAGCACTCTGCAAATCCTTAGTCTGACAAAGTACCAAGACAGCTGGAGGAGCTGCTTAGCCTGCACAGACGGAGTCAGACTGCCGATGCGGCAAGGATAGCCTGTTGTGGGCATGCCCAAAAATGTGCCTGTGTGTAGTATGTATATAATGTACTGCAATGCAATGCAATGTTCTATTTTTTTTTCTGGGCTTCAACCGGCGGTCTTGGAGATCCCTTCAGATGCACCTATGTAATATAGTGATGGCCACTAAAGACCCTGGGGAGCATTTCCTCTGACCCAAATTCTAGCAGGGTTTTTGTGTTGATGGGCAATGATTTTTTGTCCGTCGACTCAAAATCGTGACCATCCACTCCACTGGGGAGCTGACCGGTGCTGAACATGTATCGCAGCAACACCTGGCTAAAGGTCCAACCAGCAAAAGGCGGCGTTGGAGCAACAAAAAGCCTCACTGGAACATCAGCTCGAGGAGTACGGGGCATAGGGTTAAAGACGCGGAGTCGGAAGTTGTGCATTGTACATTGCAGACTGCGGTATGCAGTGCTTGCAGTGGCCAAAGTGCTAGTGTGGCCCATGCAGGAAGCCAACCACCTGCTGGGTCAGCTCCGCGCAGACTTGATTGACCGGATGCAGCAGCAAGGGATGCAGGGGAGTCTTGAGGACGGGAAGATTTACTTTGTGCTTGCCTGCGGTGCAACAACCAGAGAATGAGACTGTTTGGGCAGGGCTCCGAAACCTCATAAACTGCCTAATTGCCAAATTGCTGTATTTGGTTGATATGCGCCGCATGGAAACATTCAGACACAAAAACTAAAGCATGGAGATGTTCTGGAGGCCCAAGACAAGAGCGCCGGACCGCCCAGAGAGGGCAGTACCCAGAGCTGCAAACTCAGAAAGTTCTTGGTGAATCTGTGTGAGACAAAACCAAATTCCCTACTTTGATCAGGAGGCCACACACTCAGTGACACTTGCTTCGAGGCCTGCTGGCAAGTGCAGATGCCTTGGCCTTTGCGACGCGGGCTGCCATGGATGCAGCAAAGGCACAGTAGAGAGTGATAAGATAAGGGGGGCTGTATTGCGGGTGGTACGTAGTTAGCATACATAACATGTTTGCAGTCTTTTCTGTCAGGCCGTGAAGAAAGCCAAGTTCCAAAGCGGCATCGCAGCGCTGCCGTTTAGCTCCCCTGGTTTGGCTGTGAAGCAGCACCTTGTAGGATGGGATGACGGGACCATGCTGGCGGGACTACTAGTAACAAAGGGCATTGCTACTAGCAGCAAAGACGCTACTAGTAGCAAAGCGCATTACTACTAGCATCACTGGGGCGGCTTTCCCTTTGTTCTCATGCGTCTTTCACTTGAGTTATTTTCCGCGTGTACACTCGGGTATACATGCTCCCCAGTGGATACTTTCCATGCACCCAAGAAAACACCACTCACTTGCACATCCGCTCCTTTTAGCGCTGGAAAACTGAGCAGTTTGGCTGGGCAGGATATACAGCAGAACCAGTTGCTAGAAGCGCAAGTCTGAACCTCAAAGCTTTCACAGGTGGAGCAGTCTACGAGGATTTTTCTTTGTTGTTTTCAAGCCCGCTCCTACTTAATCAAATAGGCGCCTACTTAGTTAAGTAAGGGAGTAGTAGTTTGCTGCTAGGAGAAGTTCGCTCCTACATATGGACGCAGGATAGCGCTCGCACTAATGATTTGGTTCCTAGATTTTTTAGGGAAACTTGAGCCCCCAAATGCTACAGAGCTTGTGATGGAGTCATGTTGCGAGGCCCAGCTATGACACCAAGTCCATCGTCATACAGGTCAGGTGACGGTGTCTCTTAATTACAATACAGTCCCTTAATTACAAACATTGCAGCAACACGTCACTATGTTTCATTCACGGATGCCACTTGCTTCCAGGGAATGCACTGCCCGATTTGTGTCAGGATTGCACTTGGAGCAAGCAGATCTGGAGCAATGACGCCCTCCATGCCAACAGCTTCGTCGAGGAGGCAGCCTTGCTCAAAGTCTGCCTAATTTGATTCAATGTGTACGCTGCAGATGCACATGTATGGCCACAAGAAATGGTATTTGCATTGAATTGGTGCCACCTGCGGAGATTTGGACGTGCAGGTCTTGGGAGGCTGTGCCGCAATTGAGCCAAAGTTGCTTGACAGAGCTGGGGGTTGGTGTGCGGCATTGGACCACGTCCAGGGTGAATGCCAAGTAAATCATATTGTTCCAGCAGGACCGGGTCCTTGATTGGCTCATCTCTAAGAGCCGCAGATTGGACCGTTCTAGTTTCGCATATGACTCATTATGACTCCATACTCGCGACATACAGTTTCCCGTTTGGATGCAGTTTTGGTGTGGAAGATGCCCGAGGTTGCCAAGCTATCGCTCAGCTTCCAATCAACCCTTCTGCACCTTGGAAGTTTTTCTTCTTGATATTTTCATTTTGAATTCATTAGATATTCTTGATATTCCTTTGTTCACTTTTCGTTTGGACTTCCTGTCAAGCTTTGGCATTGGTTCGTCTGCCTGAAGGCCTATCGAATGCCAGGGGCCTACACACCAAGTCCAAGCCCACGGGGGCGACAAGCTCAACGGGTGGATCTCAGAACGAGCTCAACTCCCTCACCGTCGCCTCGCGCACAAGTTCCAGTGGCACCAGCCCGATGCTCAGCACCTGCGCGTGGTGAGAAACGGAAGAGTCAAGAGAGGTAGCGGTGCTGTGAACGTGCACTCTTGCATTGTGACTGCCATAGGTGGCCCAGCACTTTCCAGCACCTCAAACTGGGCCCCGAAGATTTCAAACACCACCGGTGCAGCCTGCAAATGCAAATTGGCTGTCCCTTGGCTTGATATTGCCCCATGTTATGTTATATTATGCAGTGCAGTAAGGCAGACGTGCTACAGGCCAGGCAGAGAAGACAGGAGAAGACGGTCAAAACATTTTCACTGCAGGAAGACCGGATCACCTCCTTTCAATGCTTCGAAACGGAAATCCAGTCTAAGGTACTCGCAGCCGATCAGTGTCTCGACGGAGGCTGCCAGATCATTGCCGAAGCGACGACCCAGCTGCACAGCTTGAGGAAAATCATATTATTGTTCGTCGTCCAGCTTTCTTCACACCTTAGGTTCCAGCAACCTGGAGAGAGGAAGCAAGGAGATTGGATTAGCTTTCATCATATATTCCTCTGAACTGAGCAAATCGAATCTAGAATTCCTGTTGCGCTGGACGGACCTGCACATGAAACCAACTGGAATAGTGGCAACTCTTCACCTGCTAGATCCTGCAGGAGTCGTTGGCTAGCGCAACCAGTGCAGTGACTTACCTCAATGGAATGACAATGGAATGATGTGGAATCCGTTGATTTGGGGGCCCTGCATGGCCCAGCATCCAGGGACTTGCTCAGGATGGCTTCGAAAGTGCTTGGGATATGGCTCCTCAGCTTGGCAATGCGAAGTGCTTGCAGGCTTTGTGATGAAACGGAGAAGGATCAGCCCCAGCTTGTGCCAAATTGTTGGCGCAAGTGGCGACATAACGTGACGTGCTGGAATGCTCCAACCGTGTCAAACCACAAGCGTTGCCGACTTTGTCAAGCAACTGAGACGAAAGCTGACTTTGAGCAGTAAGCAAGCATTGGAGTTTTTTCTTGCAGTGTTCGAATGTTTCAACCTCCAAAGCAACAGCGGTGAACGTGTTTCAGAACACCAACCTTTTGCTGGACGGGAGGGTAGTAATACAGGTGGCCCCCGACATGTTTCTGGTGCGTGTCCCATCTTCGGAGCGGGACGCTGAGCAGCGTTTGCATTGTGCCATCCTCTCCACAAGGGGAGTCAGCTCAACAAGACTTGGAATAAGGACCGGAACCAGCCCACAGGAACTTACAAGCCAGGCAGGTGCCGGAGCCCTGCAGCCAGCTGCGGTGGATTCGGTCTCATGATTTCACGAACGGAAAGGAAACGCCGTGGAAGACGAGATTCTGCCAGACTTTTGTAGCCAGGATTCGTTGTCAACAACCTTCCCGCTCCCAGTTCACAACTCAGAATCGGATTTGCGTAAACATTGATTGTCCATCCGTTATATAATATACTGATTTTTTTCATTGCACTTGACAATGACATTTCTGACCTTTGGTTGTGGGGTGTTTGATGCCTTTTTCAATCGATGCCATTTGGGGTCGGTGCGCCGCGATGCACCGCGTGCTCTGTCACTTCAGGTGCGCAGCGCCTCATGAGCCATGCTTGAGGCATTTTCGAGCGTTCTCACAGCCACCATGCACCCAGCAAAGGGCATCGCTACTACTTACATAGGGGCAAGGACGCTACGAACGGGGCTCCTGGCCGTACTACTAGGAGCAATGTTCGCTATGAGAAACAATTAAAATAGAATTACTGTAAGTTTAATTAGAAGTTAATTCCTATTGAAACAAGAAGCTACTAGGGGCTCCTGGCATCGCTACTAGTAGCAAGGACGCCACGAATGGGGCTCCTGGCTCATGTGGAGAACATCCGCATCTTAGCATTGGGCAGCGCGGGCGGTCATGTCAGACTATGTGTTTTCCTTGTCAGGACTCCACTGCGTGTCCTGGCTGATTCTGTAAATGTACATTTTCTCGAAATTCTCTGAAATCTGTTCTTCTTGATTTTGCATTGGCCTTTTCCCCTCAGCGAAGAGGAGACCCTAGAAAGAGGTCTTTGGCTCAAGTCATCTAATACATGTTTCCACTCCAGCTTTGGCGCTGGCTCGTTTGCGGGCCATTCTATTCTTAGACTCTGTAGTATCCATTTTCCTCTCGGCTCTTCAGTATGCGGGGTGAAGCTTGCAAAGTCATACAGCATGCAGCCAGCCCATGGAATCGGGTGATGGCGTCTGAAGAAGCGGTGGTTGCATTGGCTGGCTGCACGTCGGATACTCCAAACCCAAAGGGTATGAGTCCCAGCATCGCATGTTGCCCAGGGCACGTTCAAGAGCCTGCGGTGGAGGCAAAAAGGAGCTCTCTGTAATTACGGTTACTTCACCTTACCGCACGCGACGACTTGGTGAGTGTGTGCCTGCTTTTGGATCAGTATCATTTCAGATTTTGTAGGTGCTTGTTGGCCGAATCACTGGAGGCCGCAGACTGACTTTGTTTGGTGTCTCAGCTCTTGCAATATTTTCAGATTCTTGCGCTCTGCTAAACATCACGAAGGGCCGCTTCTCAAGGGCCTTGAGTCCAAATATTTTGACATTGTGAAGTGTGATCCGTGCGATTTGATTGGGTCAAATAATTCATTCCCCATTTCGAGTTGGGGAGTCCACCGTCAGCCCTTTGGGCGGTTTAAAAAACTTAATGAGACAACCTACCCTTTCACCAGTGGTGGGTGTGTGCAGTGTCGCCGCTGGTGCCAGTCCGGAACACATTCCACTTCATGCACCCACGTGTAAACTTGCACCACTGCTGTGATAAGATTTGTCCCCACACAGGACCCCGCCCCTCACCCTCCCCTGCCTTACGCTGTTTGTCCACTTCGTGAATGAGGTCGATGGTGCTGTGGGGAGCCTGGGGTGAGGCGCTGCTCAATGCGGGCAGAGTGGTTAAGCAGAGGTGTTTGGAGTTTCAGCGTGACCATAGTAGCGATGCCCTTTGTTCCTAGTAGCTTCTTGCTCCTAGTAGTAAGGCCAGGAGCCCCTAGTAGCGTCCTTGCTCCTAGTAGCGATGCCCTTTGCTCCAGGTGGGTTTTGATGTGCATGTCCGGCATTTGCAAAGCTCACACCCACAAGTCGCAAGCCTCCCGGTTCAAGCGAATTGGCCATCAACGCGTGCTCCATCCAAATTGAGTTTCCACAATGATCTTTGGTCGCAGTATTGTGATTTGTTTTCATGGAGTGCAACTTTGAAGGCTGTTTTGGAGTGAAAGGTGGTGACAGTACACACGTCCTTCCCGCGAGTCTCCTCATTCTACTTATACTTGTTTGATCTTGTTTGCGTCCTTCCTGATCACCAAGGGCAGACTCAATGATGAGCGCAGCCAGTCGAAAGCCCACAGGTATGAAGGGCAAGGCCTGGCTCAAAGTTGAAAGAAAGGACCGAAAAAGCACTGGATGAAACGACGAACCCGACTTCAAAAAACAGTATCTTATCATCTTAAACTATACCGTGCAGTGTGCAGGTCCATGACTTGGCAACCACGCTGCAGTCACAGAATGAGGAGCTGAGCATTGAGAAAGGCAAGGAGCTTCATCGTTTCTGTGGATTCTGAATATGACCCGTTGCGATTTGGCTTGCGCAGGCCATATGCACAGCATCAAGGCAGACAATGCGAACCAGTCCACGGGCATGCAGGGACAGCTAAATGCTCCTCGTGCTGGAAGGGGTCGATTGATGCCGAACATCCAGCTTTGCCTGCAGTGGCTCTAGATTTTCAAAGATTTTCCCCAACAGGGAATCTTAGGGTCTTCAGCCATCCCAGAAGATCGGAGCAGCTCCCGGACCAGATTCCGGGGCAGGTTCTGGAGGAGACATTGTCATGGCGTAATGCCGACATGTCACCCTGCTGGCATGCTGTCATGCTGACACTTTGTCATGCTGAAGGGCAACCATGCATTGTAACATGTTGTCCCTCTCTCATGCTACCCTGCAAGCATGCCCCCCTTCTGACGTACTGTGTTAGCTGACACGCTAACGTCGTCAAGCTGACATGGTGTCATGCTGGTGTCAATAATATTCAGTAATGCTGTCATGTGGACGCGTAGACACGCTAACATGCTGTCACGATGTGTCACGCTGATATGCTGGCATAGTGTCACGCCGACATGCTGACAGGCTGACATGTTGTCATGGCGTCAGGCTGACACGGGTGGCGTTAACATGCTGACACATTGTCACGCTGAGGTGCTGTCGTCGTGTCATGTTGTCGTGGTGGCGCGGTTGCAGGCTCCAGAGCGGGTTTCGGAGCAGGTTCCGAGGTTCTTGCTTGTTACGGCTTTGTCATGTTTGCATACATGTGGGCACACGTGCCAGCGCGTGGCACCGTGCCGTGTTGTAATGCGGGCGGTGACGCGGTGACGCATTGGAAGGGTGCACATGTTTGTAAAACAACAGTGTTTGGCGAAGTCGCAACACTTGTCGACGTCGCCGTTGCTTTTAAAGTGGATTCGTGCCCAACACCCCAAAACAGTTTGGGATTTTTATGTGGGCCTATCGCATGTTCAATCTTGAATGTTCGTGTGTCTCATTCACAACTGTTGGCAACTTGTCGCACTCTGATGGACTGAGGACATCAAGCGGTACTTTTCGGCAGATGTCCAAAGAATGATGGAAGAGATCCTCGGGCTGAAATTTATTGTTGAGTCCTTGAGATTGGACCAGCAATGCCAACACCCTTTCTTTGCAACTCTGTTTCGATTGAAGCCTTTTGTTTGATTCAGGTTCCAGGTCAGCGCCCAACTACAAGAATCCGAGAACGTTCGGCTTCAACAACAGGTGTGCCTGAGTCCCTGAGTCTTTTGCACTGCAAGCTGCTTGTGTCGGTGCTGTGAGCACACATTACATTACATAAGCATTCATAAGCCATCTTGCACCCATACAATCCCATACACAATTTGCACGGTTTTTGTTGGTTTTCTGCTGGCACACGCATTTCTGCAATGTAAATAAAGCATTTTATGTGCGTTGTACTTCAATAAACGCACATTCCCCATGCACGTGCCCGAACCCATTTGTGCAGGTTTTTCTACAACTTTTATTGGCACTTGTTTGTTCTGCACGGTGTCACAGGTAACACAACTGAAGGGTGAAAAGACCTCGATCCATCAGCAAGTCATTGCCCTGCAGCAACCTGGCACTTTTTGCATGACATGACATTTGTCGTGATGTTTTTTTTACTGTAGGCCACGTTGTCCTCCCAGTCTTACGTTGTTGATTGAGCACTGCGAAGCTCAGGCGTCGCATTGAGGCGGGATGCCCAGCAGATCTTATATATATATATATATTATGCGTGTGTGTGTGTGTTGCCATGTTGCGACTTGGCCATCTGGCAGGAAATCGAGGAGGAGATTGGGCACGAGTGAGTTGACAGAAACAGATGCTGGACCTGCTTGGGATTGCACAAGTATTTCAGAGAGGAAAAGCTAGTGGTTGTAGGCACGCAGTGCTCGAATTGTATTTGATCTCACATGTGAACCACGTGTCCCTCAAGTCCCCAGGCACCATATAAAGGGCTGGCCGAGTGAAATGGCTTTGCCAGCTCATTTGCGTTTGGTGTTTGCAAAAGAGTGCCGCGTGAGAGTGGCTGTCCACATTTGCTTGAATCGGGCCTCATTGCTGGCCATGGAATCTAAACATCAAGGGAGGCCAAAGGTCAGGTGCCAAGTTTCCCCCCCTCAACTCGCAAAGTGCGCTTTGCTGGCAAATGAGGCGACAACGTGATATTAGGATTCCAGCTGTGAGATAAGGCGAGGAAAGGCATACAACATTTTTTTCCAAGGGGAATCCAAGGATAGACTCACATCAGCACGTGCATCTAGATGTCTCACAGCCCCAGTAGATAGGACATCAGCCTTCTGGCTGGCGAGCTCAAAAATGCACACCTGAAAGGCCTTCGCTTTTCTTCTAAAGGCAGCACTGGCATCAAATGCAGCATTTCGAGAAAAGGTGGCCTTTCCAAATTGCTTTGCTCTGCGAGCCGTTCGAACGGCTTGTGGACTTCGCCACCAGCTCTTTGGGTGGCCTTAGCTAGGGAAGGAAGCTGAAGATCTGCTTCCCGAGTTCGGCTGGAACTGCCATCGCCATTTGCCAGAGATTATTGTGTAACACCATGTGGTGCTTGTCCTCTTTTGACAAAGACAAGTGAAAACGCCCATGTGCTTGGAATTCATCAGGCAGTTCAATCATTTCACTGCACCCATGCAATCTCCCTGCTCCCTGCTCGGATGCTCGCACCTTGGATATGGAAAAGGGACATCGTTTTGTAAGCTTTCCCCATTCATATTCGATCTTTTCGACAAGCCTGCACGATCAGTGAAACCCAGAGCAATGATTCTTTGGGAGGGTCGCCTTTGCCATTATTCATGGCAGGTTGTTTGTCCAGCAGTGCTTTTTGCGCTTGTTTGCCGGGCCCCAAGCCTGTCGGCTTTGAGGTTGAAGATAAGTGCATAGATTACCAACAGTCTAACAACAGTTAAACTAGGAGGCATGGGGAGAAGAACTTGCAATGCCAATGATTCATGACACATCCCCACAGTCAAGAGATGAATTGAATCGCCTTTCCACCTACCGTTTTGACCGAGTGCTTGTTGCAGGCTTGGCAGACCTGGTGGCTGTTGTTGCTCCTTTGGATGTGCCTTGCTTGCACACGCTGGCACCCTGTCCTAGTGTCAAGGGTCTTGGCGGTCAAAAGCCATTTGTTTTGGAAAGTGCGTGGCATCAAAGGCTACCAGCCCCAGCTTTCGCCTTAGAAAAAGCACTTAGCCTGAAGATGCAGCTGAAGTGCCTTGGCGATCACGATGAATCAAGATGTGCATGTCTTTATGAGCCGGCAAGGCAAACATGCAAGCGAGTCACAAGCTCTTTCAGAGGACTGGACGTTGAGCAGGAAAGCACATCAAAACCACGGAAAGTTATGCCTTTGTCTTAGCTTGGGCATGCAGCATGCCATATCTATGGCGTTTTCCCGCTCGCGGAGTAGATGTTGGTTGCTTCCCTGTAGCCTTCCAGGATGGTGCGCTTGCAGTTGGAGGCCGCAGCAAACTTCCAAAGAGCCAGATCATACCTACCCAGTCACAGCAAGCTAGTCACAGCACAAGCAAGGGACGTGGGGCAGGAAGACTCTTGAAGATGCTACATGTAGACATGCTGCAAGAGAAGTGGCAGAGGCTCTCGTAACAACTGCCGTTCTGCGACAGCGGCAAGGTCCTCAGGTCTAGAAAATCTATGAACATCTCAGTGTGAGCATAATTTCGCCACGACAACACCAAGACTGCAGGAGATGCTGGCGGAGACCTCAGTGGCTGACAAAACAGCGAAGTGATGAAATGGTTTGACTCAATATGATGTTGAAACATGCAACCACGCAGCCTGCAGAGCAAGGTCATCTCCATGCAAGCTGTGCTCAGGGCCTCCTTGCTTGTAACCTTCCGACTGGCACAACGGCAGCGATGTGCAAAGGTGCTCTGGGTTTGGGTGCCCTTTCATGAAGCTTCAGCATTTACAATTTACATAAGGTTTGCAGTTTGCAATTGTCTGGAGTCTGAATGGATTTCGTGTAAGAAGTGGAAGAGATTGTAACTGGACAGGTCCTACCGTGATCTCTTGACCGTTGTCGAACGACATGGCCAACTTCGCCTGACAGGCCTAAAAGTAGCACGTAGAAGCGAAACTGGTCGTAAGGGCTCGACGGCACTTCACGGCGAATCACGAGACTCAACACCTGGCGGTTGGGGGACCATCGTCACGGACATGTCAACTTGGATTTGCAGCCATCGCCTGAAGCGCGCTGGGGAAGCAAAACGACCGGTTTTGCACTTCTGGCAAGGTCCATTTTGTTTGCATTGGTTGCCTCATGCAGAGCCACTGGGAGCACATTGAAAACCTGATTCTTGCCTTCGCTTCGTTGGCCAAGCTCCTGGTTCGTAGTTATCTTTGTCCAGATCAAGGAGTGCGCACGTCCTCTGTCAAGGCGTGTAGACCGACCAAACATACTCTTAAAGCATTTTTGTGCTGCAAGGATGATAAAAATCAAGAAGGTAAACTTACTAATTTTCTTTGTTTAGGAGGGTCCTATTCGTGGGGCCCAGCGCATTTTTATGTTGCGCTGTATGTCAGGCCATGGGGGGCAGCAATAGCCATGGCGACCGAGACAGAGACAGAGTCGAACAGAAGGTGATGTGACTCCTTCCAGTGATTCTGAGTACTATGCGTAATATCATGAGTTATGAGATGGTAATTGATGGTGCTAGCGGTCTCGTACAAGAGAAGAAGACGGTGCCAATCCTCAAGAATTGTGGCAGTCCTCTCCAAAGTTGTGAGCAGCGGCAGTGCTCAAGCCCTGCATGTTGGGAAGATGAGCAGCCCACGTAGAGGCCTCTAATCAAAGAGCTAAAACCTAGTTATGCGAAATATTGTAGATTGACAGGGTCATAGTAGATTGACAAAGCTGCCTCATCTATATAAAGGGCACCAATGCAAGGATGTCTTTGCAGGCGCTCATTTGCCATAAACTCAGCGCTTGTGTAGCAAGGATGCTTTAGTTTGGTTTGAAGACCCGGATCATGTAACGCCCCCACAGCCGCGGATGTGGCAAAAAATGGCCAGATGGCCCGCCCTGCAATTCCTTGGCACGATGCTCAGGAGGATTGCCGTGGGCCGTGGCAACCGGCAGAGTCAATTTTACTCAACTTAGGCTCCACGAAGTTGGAATTCCCCACCGCAATACAAAGCCAAGCGTGCTACAGGGTGTTAGTATCAAACTTTGGTTACTCTCAACGCCGGCCTAGGTTCACGAACCCCGGGTTACTTCTTGGCATCATTGCTGCTTTGGCCTTCCTTCTGTTGCTGCTGGACGGATCCGCGTCCAATGATTCAGCGACACAAGGCCGAACCACTGCTGGTGCTAGTTTGATAGACTTTCGTGCCTTTTCTTCAGTAGCCTTTTGTTCCTTTTGCTTCTCTGTTTTTGGTGAACTTTTTCAGAACAAGTCTTGAGTTCCAGGCCCTCAGCGTGACACTCAAAAGGCAGTCCTCGACCTGCATACGGCGATCCTCAAGAAACTTGCCCAATCATCTCTCGTTGGATGGGTGCTGTAAATTTGAGGAGTTGTACATGGGCTTTCTGTGGACCTTGTCTAGGTCTTCTCCGTAAGCCGCAGCACACTTCGACGCCCATGCATAGCTTGTGCTTGCTTTTCGCAATGTCCCATGAGGGAAGAGGTTTTGAAGAAGCTTGGAATGCCTTGCTGGTGCTGGTTGACCTCAACCAATGAATGAACATAGCGAGTAACATACCGGTGCTTGTGGTATTGTGGTAACGTTTTGAGGTCCACCATTCTCACAAGTCGACTTACTATGATCTTCCAAGCGACGGACGGTTCAGCTGACTTCACTGGGTCTGCCAAGTTTTCTTGTCCTCTAGGAGAGCCATGTGCTCCAGCCACCAGCCAACAAAAAGGCTAGTACCTTTAGCTACTAGTAGCGAGTAGCGATGCCCTTGTTCCTAGTAGCGATGCCCTTGTTCCTAGGAGCGATGCCCTTGTTCCTAGTAGCAATGCCCTTGTTCCTAGGAGCGATGCCCTTGTTCCTAG